GTTCTGCAAGTGGAAATTACACGGTTCCAGAAAATACACGAGAAACGTGGAAATATTACTGTCATAACATCACTGTCATACGCATTTTGAACAATGAAGTTAATTCAACCAAAAATGTTGTATAGTTGAATATAGCAAGTTAACGCTTATCACATAATAATACTATTGGTTCACAAAGGCGTATAATCTGTCTTCATTTTTCATTGTTTTATATCTTAATTCGCTAATTTGATAATCAAAACAATGAGGGACTATTTACTAGAGGAAAGTGGAGAAACACGAATATCTCTTTAAGGGAAAGTCGACAATTATTTATCAATTAATAGAATAGTCTTTATACAAAAAAAAACTCCAATTACTTGGCTTTAAACTACAATAATTAACTTTCATACATTATCAATATAAACTGTAATTTTAAATAAGAAACGAAAGCTGCCACGTGGGACAATATCGAATCAATTTTGTTTTTTGTTTAAAATTATAGTTTACATTGATAACATATAAATGTTATTCCTTGTAAGTTAAAGTTAATATATTTTAAATAAATATTTCTATAATTGATAAATAATCATCGAGTTTATTTAATTTTTCCCTTAGGTAATAAGAAGGTTTTATAATACTTCCATTTTCTCCTACATTAAAATTATTGCAAACATATAATAATATTTACCTTGAATTCGTATGTTTTATGGTCATTACGTGTTATGCGATACTAATTGTAAGCGTATATTGGACTATCATCGGATGCGAGAAATGAGAGGTTATCACTACTCTAATATACTGCAATAGTGTTGTTCGCGTTTATCTCGCATTCGCAATTTCCCCAATCTCCCTTACATCTGAATGGAGAAATTATTAATTACACAATATCTCTTCTGTAATAAAATATTGCATTTCTAGTAATTCTAATTTTTTTATTTATACGCACATTATGTACATTTGTAAACAAGTTACGATGAATTAATATAAATCTTGAGACAATAAATTTACAATAAATTTATATGTAAGTAGACTTTTTTATTTATCAATTAGTCACATTATAGAAGAAATAATGAAGTTATTGACAATAAGTTTAATGTGACAGTTATTATTTTACGAAGGTAGATAAACGACAATATTGTATAGAAACGCAGCGAATAAAACACAACGCGAAGAAAATAACAATAATTTGGTGAGGTGCCTCGATTTTTCAAACAGGTTCATTATTCTTTCTTGCGATTTCCTTTCTTTTTTTTTCTTTTTTTAGTGTTCCTTCTGGTATTCCGGTTTCTTGATAAATAGTTCCTGGCAGTTTGACCTTTCGATGTGAATTCACGAGAAAAGACAAATCGATTCCGTTCCCTAGTGACCCGATCGTCTGTAACAAATATTACATCGTTCGATAACCGTCTACAGCGTTTTTATGTTTCCATCGTTTTTGGACGAGATAAAGAGTCGTGCAATATTAACTGTCTTGAATCCTATGTTTTTCGGTGAACGACTGATCATTGCTTAAAATATCTCGCAATATAGAATAACGACGTTACGCCGTATATAAAAATTTCCAACTTATTCGCAACGATGACCCTTTTTCTACTACCTCTACATACAACGCGCTCCTGTGGCTGTTGTTACACTGCCACGTAAAGCACGGGTTACATTTCACGAAGTTTACGTGGTGGAACGTAAAGTAAATGCCGCTGACTTGAATAGTCTGAACTGCATAAACCGGACATAGCATATCGCGAGCCAACATGTATGTAACCACGTCGCTATCACGATGAAAGGTTGAAGCTCCGAAAAGCTGTCTCCTGATTGCGCGTAACTGTGCCGGCGCCAAGATTGGTCCATTAATCTTACTAGGGACGTACGCAATATCGCAGTTTCATGAAGAGGCTACGTCCTAAATAAATGCCGCCGCTCGAAACATCGACGCCATAGTGTAGAAAATGCAGTTGCGCAATTGCACAGTGGTGGTTGCGCCAGTGCCGAATGAGAAAAAGAGAGAGAAAGAGCGAGAGAAAAAAAAGCGACACGGTAGAATGGCTCGTATGCGAACTCCAACAATGAAACCTTCCTTAGCAGTGCACTGTTAGCGAAGCTCGAATGGAACAGCGGTCGTGGTCAATGGATGGAATTCAGTTATTCAAGTTTGAATGTAACAAAAAAGTTGAAAACTCGATTGAATCGCAAAGAAAAGAGCTGTAACAAAAATACTATAAAGTATAAAAGAATACGTTGTTCCTGTGACTTTTCTCGTGTAGCTAATATTAAGCTAGGAAAGATTTAACTTATACGAATATTAATAACAACTTCCACATATATCGTAACAAAACTAAAATTAATTGTATAAGACACATATAAATTTGATGGCAAATGTTTACAAAATGTATATTTCGTTTATCGTAAAGTTATCTCCTAGAATTATTATAAATTTTTTGCCAAAATCAAAGGTAAATGAAGCGACGCATTTTGACAAATTTATGCTTGCTATTAATTTATTACAACACGCCGTACAATTATTCGCAGAGTGCTCGTAATTGTAATTTTCACTTGTGCGCGAAGGACACAAAACATGCGTATATATTGGCTTTTACAAATTTACATTTCCCTCGTGTAATCTACTAGTCTCGTGCTCATAATGCAAGTAATTTTACTCTCTGTCATCTGTGAATGTAATTATCCTCAAGTTGCTCCGTGGCTCGCATTTATGAGACGCACGAAGTTATATAACTATTGGGGAAGCACCGTCACTGAACATCGTTAAACTCGCGACAAACGGTTGTCATAATCTTCAAGTTTAGATAGTTTCGTCACCTCGAATTCGCTGGAAAATATCATAACGTTATCACGCGTTACCATCCACAAAACTCGCGACGATTCGTAGCACTGACCTATATTGCAAGTACATACACAATGTATGATAGCGTATTATTTTATATTTTTTTTAGTTAAAATAAACTATTTAATTCCGAATAGAATGTGTAATTTTTGCTAATGAATCTGGATTTAAAGAAGGAAACAGAAATACAACAATTGTAGAGAAAATTTATTACATTTATTTGTTATGTTGACGCCACTTTTACAAGTCTAATATGCAAAAGACTATAAACAGAAACCATTTTAACAAACCTCCATATATCTTTTCCGGTATAAAACACTTTCAAAAAGTAGCGAAAACAAAACAAAACTTTTAATGGAAAAGCTCTATCTTTGTCAGAGGGATTTTTTTTTTTAAAAAAGAATCACGAAAAACTGTACCGTCACTAAATTAAACATTACAAATATAGTATAAGAGTCAGTAGATACATAATAATTGTCGGATAAAATAATTAAATGTATTTGTATCACATCAATATGTTTACTATATTCCGATTCGGCCACAGGTTATGACGCACTTGTGTCGCGGTTCGCTTTTGTTATCGATAGATTTAATGGCTATACGCGAATAGAGCGCATAGGGCGTCAGATTTATTTTTCAACCGTATAAAAAAGCACCATAAAGTATTTTAAAACAACATGCTGTAATTTTACACTTGTCAGGATTCGGTCGAGTCGCCGATTCAGTCATTCGACATTCTACCTTTGCACAGTGCAGCGAACGATTGTAGACAAATGGTCGAACGAATGACGAAGTCGCATCGAGTTTCGTAACATTTATCCTTGATCAACAAATTTTACATTACACATTTTTTTTTGCTACGCTGCTTCTTCGTCACTGGATCAATCGACGCGTTATTAGATATTTTTGACCATGAAAAATCTCTACTTTTATAAATTTTTAATTAATATATATTATCCTAATGTAATTTTTTAAATTATTATTAAATTTTCCACATACCTATTTTATGCGCCATCATGTACGTGAATTCGAAAAGTTCCCCATATAGATACAACTTTTTGTATATTATAATGATATATTAATCCACTTTTATGATCGTCATGTTTAATATGATAAGGGAAGATAAATTTCTCATAAGTCTCATAAGTTGTGCTGTCGAAGTGATGCTCGTCACTTGCGAACAGTGTAAACGATGTTCCTGGCGATGTATATTCGTGTTCATCGCATGTCACTTGTCACTTCCTGGTGTTCGATACACCATCTCGCACATAAATCTGTGAAACTGTGTCCAGATGACATGTTGTGGACAAAATATTGCTAATATGTGTTGTTACATCTCACCACGATGATTTGCAGTGATCAAGTGCTATCAATTTTTCTAGATTTATCTACCAATTTTTTGAATATATATTTATCATATACTGAAAATTGATGGATATTATATTATACTTTCGAGTATGAAATTCTGTTTTCAGATATTGAGTTGAATTCTTTCTTCTTCTTGATATTAGAATTAACGTTGCATCTAACAATAATAAACAAATTTTTTTGAACTTGTATCTTCAAAATACACGCTATTGTAGCGAAACGATACAAATAGGATCTCGTAACTTTTGATATTTTATTTGCGTTATATAGAATATATAGAAGATTTAATTCTCCCTTCTCGACTTTACAAACAAATATTTTGGAACAGATATAAAGGTCAATACTGCTAGCGTAGAGCAGGTATTCTCTGTACCAGAGTATCCGTCCGTTAAACGAGTCCAGGAGTAATATTACTCCGATATCGGAGTACTCGAAATCACGGGTTCGATTTAATGGATTTCGATTAAACTGATTCGCTATAACATTTTTGATCTAATCGGATTTTCGATATGTTTCACGTTGGCACGTATGCTCTACGATTTCTGATACCGTTTCGCTATTGATATATTGTTGTTATGACAACCTCGTAGTAACAATCGAGGCTTGCAGAAATTAATTTACTTCAGTTGATATCTAAAAAATCAATTGAATACGCAATTTCTCCGATGTTTTAGTAACAATGGTACAAATATGAAGAGATTCGAATAGGAATTGGTAGATGAAGAATAATAAAATTCTTTATTAATTGCTATCTTAAATTTGAGTCACTTTCTTTATCCTCTGACGTTCCCTGTGCTCTTTTGTGTTACAGGACGACAAGCGAGGAATCTGTTACCGGGACAATCATCGGGTCATCATCACGGTACGCAGGATGCATCATTATCGGACAGTTACAATAACAGTGAGTGACCATACGTTGACGAGCGCAATCCAGCTGGAAATCACTAGCAAAAGCTGCTAGATCCCGTGGGGATGTTGCGGGAATGCACTCGATGTCGAAAATCAGACTCGCATGGTTGCACGTTGCGAGTGTCAACCGGGACCGAGCATTATCGTCCTTGTTGTTTGCGTTAAAGGCCAAAATAAACTACGGAACACCAGCGCTTTTGCGTTACGTTAACGGTCGTTGCACGTGTACGGAACGCACGTGTGTACGTATATCGTACGTAGAATCGCGGGCACCTCGTGAAATGGGCCATTTCGCGCCTCGGCATATCCGCTTGCTTGTAAAATAACTTTTCCTCTCCTCTCTGCCGCACGATTCGATTCTTTCCCGCACCACCAATCGCACCACTCGAACTCTTTTCGATATTACACCACGACGATAAACCCGTGGTGGGCTTATCGCTGTATCGGGCGCGCAGATTGTTTTATATGCATAATCTCTATTGAAAATAATCCCCTCCCTGGAGCACATACGTGCGCGAATGCCGTCGCCTAGCAATGAATTTTTATGTCATCTGTTTTTTGTGTCACATATCGATCATTATGAAACGGTGAGCGCCAACAAGTTATTTTTTGTCGAATCGCATGGCTGCATAATGCAGGCAACAAGCCATATATTGCTCGATGGATAGCGTACGTCAAACGTTGGTGAAGTAATAAAAAGCGATATGTGCGCGCGCGCGCGCGGTCGTTTTAACAGTCGTTTTAATTTTACGAGCAGTTTCGTTACTGCGTATTAAAAAG